CTTCGTAATTTGATTTTTCGATCAGTACCCTAAAAAGGGTCGAAAATTCAGTAAATTAGGCATAACTCGGCTCCAAAGGCGCAATGGCACGAACCTTTTTCGACTTTCTCTAGTCTTACCGAGATCTACTTTTGGGCACAATATGAGCTGAAACGGCGGGTATCACTTGGGAATGTTCCCTCGTCAGTTGTTTTCAAAGACCAGATTTCGTCATTTTCGAAGCCCAGATCCCGTCGTTTACAGTTTGGCTACGACACCCAGGACCGATATAAATCTGAAGGTCAGGTTACCCTCGGGACATGTGGCTGCTAGTGGCTGCATATCATTAGTCAGTCTATAATTCCAAATTCGCAAACTATATTATAAAGACTCAACCATCAATAATTAATTGTATTGTGTTGAAACTTCGAAAATCAATAGTCCCACTTGGACAATAAATGTATGATCAGTATCGAATAGAATCATCTCTTATCAGAAAGCAATCAAAATGAAAACTTCGGACTTGCTATTTTTTCCCAGCAACGATTGCTAACATGGGAAGCAAGTGAACTATGCTACTGTGATCTCAGCACTGACTGATCATTTCATGATTTTCATGATCGCTTTTCAGAAGAACAAGACTTCGAACTGTTATTTTGGATATGGGTGTGGGCGGGAGTGAATAGAAGACTCGCACCTACCTGCATTCTATACTCACACCCACTCTCATTCTTTTTTGCCCTATGAGCACTTTAAGCTGAGTGTAGATATTGTGGAGCTGCACTCACACTTGCACCCACCCACATGCACTTTAGAAACTCTTTCATGCTGTTCAAGTCGTTTAATATTCGATGTTTCAACAACAATGCTATCTTCACTAGACAACGAACATGAATGAAACTGCTGTTGTCGATTCACAAGTATTTATGTCAGTATGCAGATATTTTCTTTTTTTGCTCTTCGTTCTCGTCAATGGTGTTAATAGTAAGTCGGCAAGACGGAGATAATATTGGAATTGAGTAATTCCTACTTAGCTACCACTCTACTATCAAAAGCATTGAAGAGAACAAAGAGCGAAATAAAAAAAAATTCGAAAGGTTGACGTACATATCTGTGGTACTACTACAGTGATTTTATATTTGTTCATTATCAGATCAAGATACCATCGGCATCGAAACACTACATACGAAACGAATTATACAACAAAAAAGTGTGTCTACAGTAGAATCAAATTCCATAGCCCTTCTTCCATGAAACCAGTCACTATTATCTGAACCGGCGCAAACCTTTCTCTTAATTTTTCACCTAAAATTTAACTTTAAATTTTTCTACAAAAAAGTCGCAAATTACAGAATTATTAGTGGAAACGAAGGGAAAATAGTTAAAAGTATTATAGCTTCGCTAGCGTTTGAAAGAAGACAATCTCATTTTGTTCAATTTTCCAAAACTTGAATTATTATCGTAATTTTGTCATTTACAGATTCATTTTTCATGGGACCATGTCTAAATGCCAGTCTTTAGCTAGTAGATACTGAGTAAAAATGTATTTGTTTTGCTGAAAGAAAACTGAGAAAAGCATTTCAATATAGCTCCTACTCTTGTAAATGTCCACTGAAGATCGCCCTATTTCAGGGTACTGTTCATCTTCAAATCTCTATTTTTCCTCAAGCTTCTTAGCATGAGTAGGAATTAGGATTTACCTTTCACTTAAATTCAGCTAAACTTACTTCTGAGGAAGACTTTGAAATAAAGACATACTTCTAACTAAGGCTCTAACTTTTCAGACATGTCATCACGACACTGCGGTCTGATCA